AATGGAAAAATGTAAGTATATTTGGATTAAAGTAGCGAAATAAGCAAAACAATTGATGTCAAATACAAACATGAAAGCAAAACAATTAAAAGCCAGCAAACTAAATTTACCTCACACATCTTATTTTGTTTTTAAAATTAACGGTATTACTTTAGCTGAACAAAAATGTATGATACCTGGAGAGTGGAGAATCCCCTATATATTAATCCTGAAACATTCATAAATACACAACCTTGGAGAGCATGCTTACGTGTCAAGCTCACAGAGCTTCTCAGCTTTAATTTTTTAATGGACCAATTTTGCTAGGAATGAAATAATGTAACATTTAATTTTGTGCATGTAGGACTATAATATATATACATTTTTAAGGGACCAACTCTCTTAGATATAAAAAAATATATTTTCTTTCCTTAAATAAAAGTTACGGAATTACCTAATATGATTAACATATATATGTAATTAATGATTATGAATAATACATATTTTTGTGTCCTCTCTCTTTTTTGTTTAATTTTAAATTATTAAAATAAAATAAACAATCATATTAAATATATAATAAAAAAAATTAATTTTTTTTCTTATAGGTTATATTTTTAATTTATTAAAACAACCATAAATAACTAAAAATAGTAAAATCCCACGTTGAAAATTTTATGATCAATGGTTTAACTTTGTTTTTTTTCAAACATCGTATGAATATGAAGTATCATTATTAGATATTCATATTATAAATATGTTAATTTAAAAATTTCTGTGAAAATGTTTGAGGTTAGTAGATACAAAGTATTCGAAAGATTTTTGTAGTTTGTTTTATTTGCTTTTTTAAAAAAATTATATTTTAGTTTGTTTAGATAATTTAACTAATTGTAAATTAGATTTATTAATAGTTTAATATTTTGAATTTTTTGTCAACTTTTAATGTTTAAAAAATATTTTTTGGGATGATTTCAGATATTGGTTACAATCCAATCCAAACTGAATTGAGAAGATCAAATCCAGTCAAATCCGATAATTAGTAAAATTCAAATAGGATATATGAAAATAATACCAAAATCTGAAGATACGTCTCAATCAAACCAAAACCGGCGAAGTCTCAAACGTTCAGACCTATGATGATTTAAGATACTAACATTTGTATTCATCATTTTATAATCGATAAATATTGTTTGCAAAATGTTAAAAATCAATGAACAAATATTAGTATAAAAATTTCCCCCCGCGCATGCGCGCGGGTTATCATCTAGTAATTTATTTACAAATAAAACATTTTGGTTAAGCTACGCTGATAGTTATAAAAGATACATTACAAAAAAAGATGCAACAATTTGGCTGTATATACAAAGTATATTATGTGAAATCTTGATATCCTTTTGTACATGTAGTCACCAACCTTTTTTCTTCTATATTATCCGTTCACTCGGCCTTTTACGTTTTAACTGTCACGTGGAGTTAAGACAGGAATATGCAAGTATGAACGTATGTAAGAGTGGTCATGTGGTAGCTAATATGTACACGCATACAGAACGAGCGGGGCCCGAAGTTGGTTCCTCGAAGGACAAAACAAAGTTCACTGAATCTTTTCTATCCTTGTTTCAGAAAACATTTGTGGTCGAGATACACGTGAAAAGCGGCCTCTTCTCTTATTATTCTTTAACCGATAACTACAAAGCTCATGTTCCGATTTATCTAAACATTTTTTCCTTCTTTTCAGCTACAACATTTCAAAATCTAAAGTACTTAAAGTACATAACTTCAGAAAGACTATCGTGGAAACTGGTAAACATAACTCATACAATCCATGTAATGATGTAATTGCAAATTCAATATCTTTTCACTATACATAATTTAATTTTTTCTAAATAATCATTTCATTTATTGTAATCACTTCGTATACTCTATCCATTTCATTTATCGTTCTGTATAAATATGAACAATTCGATTTTGATATATATAAACCTTAAAATATCTACAAAACTAATATATTCAAAGGTTTGGATAATTGTATAAAAAAATAACCATATTAATTGATTTGGTTCAAATATTTTGAATCGAAACTAAAAGTAACCTAAAATAACAAATAACTAAAGGAAACTATATTATCTGATTTGATTCAGGTAAGAATTTGATGTATAGCAACTTAAAATATTCAATTAATAAAGACACATAAATATATAACTAATTATGAAAAAAAATATCAGCTTATAAAAATATAAAATTTAACACTGATACGGGTCAATTATAAGAGAAGTTGAGCCAATAAAACATATAGACAAACAAGGGCCCATTAGAAGTCCATTAAATAACATGCCTCCATCATAGAATAGAGCCCGTTCTATATGGATATAGAATGAGCGTAGACTTGCAGCCACATGATTATTTCCATGAACGAGAGCTCGTTTCATTAACAAGAAGACTAGTTCCAGAATATACATTGTAAAAAGAAAGAAAAGATAGAAAGATTATCGTACAAACTCAAATTGAAACTAAAATGAGAAACCACTAATGAGTGGACGATTAAGAGACCAAAAAAGTGTAATAGGATAAAGACGAGTTCGTGGCACGTGGGCTTTGGAATCGTTTGCTTATGTTGGACACCGTTAATTCCCTCTAGCGTCTACACAAGGCAATTTCTCGTCCAAGTCTTTTGTTTTTGGTCACTTTCACCAACCTCGCGTCCGACACATCTACCTTATTTATTTCATTTTGCATCATTCCTATTCAATTTTTCATTTTTATTACACAACCTCCATAGATCCCTTGGGACATGGAATCGGCCTATCAGACAGCTCAAATCTCTTTCATTTTTATTGTTGTGAATTATTATTCTTTCCTCACGTCATACATTTTTATTGTCGTGAATAAATTTTTTTTTCTCATCTCATATGAAACAAGATGAATTAAGAAATGTGTTTTATTAGGTTTTCGTTACAAGGAAGAAATTGGGTAGTCACCAACTGGTTGTTAAGGCATTTAATCCCTCAATTAAGCAATTCTGCAGACACGCTTCTCACTCAAAAGAACTCTCCCTCCAAATCAAATTCTCCAGGCTACCTCAAACAAAATAAACAAATAATGTTAGCTCCATGGATGGTTTTGTAGTTTAACGTCTTTTTATTTTGGTAACAACAGGGACGTGCCTGACCATAAGCTGTTCAAGCATGTGTTTGGGGCCAATATATTTATAAGTCATATAGGGGCCAATTTTACAAGAATCATTGTCGGTTCAGTGGTTTAATTGGCTGTTACATTAGTCATGATCATTGGTTCACAACCCACTAAGTGAATTCTGGGGGCCAAAATTTGTTTTCTGCTTATGATCTTAGTAAAGTCAGGCACGGCCCTGAGTAACAACATATTTATTTATAACAAAATATCATTATAGAGTTTTCTACCTATTAAAATCAAATGATATTGGTTTATAAAAATATTTTTTCTCACTAAAATACTCTCCATAATTATGAGTAATATTTCAGAAATTTTAAATATGCTCAATAATATATTCCCTAAACTAATACAGTATGTACCGGTATTAAGAATAACACATAAAAACCTTTTCGGGGATAAAACATCAATGTATCAGGAAAAGAATGTATATTATTATTGTTGATTTTTCTCCGTTTTATTAACATGTAAAACAGAAAATTCTGAAAATTTGTGTTAATTGAGTTATCACCTTCGCACGTCACCTAATAAGAAATGTGTGGCCGATGTATTTAACAGAACACGTATAACTAATAAACAACATGATACGTCTAGAAATGGTTATCTGCTTTTAATAACAAGTCTACAAAAACAATTTATATGTATCACAGATTCACAGTTTAGTTACGAAGTATCATGTCGCTTAACACATGTTTCATGCTCGCTGATAAACAAGGGTTTGCAATTACATAGAAAATAAAAACATATGTTGTTGGTTCACACTAACCTATGATTCAATTATCACAACCACAACCAATTTTAGATGCTTTAGTCAACTAACCAATTAAGCTTTGGTGGACAAATTTATTAGTAAAACTATTCAACGGTTGCTTAAATTTGTATCCAAGCTATTAGACTTATAAACAATATATATACATATATACAATACGAATTTCAACTCTTTCCTTCGTTTTAAAAAATGTTTTCGTTTATTCTAATTATTTGAGTATTAGCACCAAGTCAAGTCAATGACAACACAATATTCGTTCCGGTTCAATAATATTCTCTATTATCTATAGGGAAATTAGGTCATAAAATCCAAAAAATATAGTTCACTAAGTAACCAAAACTTCATCGTTTTAATTTTTTAATCTTCATATATCTGTTTACTATCTTACTACAAATCTAATTTATTCATTTTTAATTATTTTACAAATTAACCCTTCTATAACAATATAAACAAAAATACATAAATACAATGAATTTTCTACGAAAAACGTGCTACTAATTCTCTAAATGGTTGGCACAGAAAAAAAAACAAAATATAATACTCTCTCGTTTTATTGTAAGTAACATATGCACATATATTAAAAATACTTGATTTTGTATATTTTAAAAATAAAAATATCATTAATTATACACTTAATCATATTTTTATTTATAGAAAATTAAATTAAAAATAAATATATATATATACATATATATAACATATAAAATTAATAAAATTTATATTAAAATTATAAAACAACCCTTATTTTGTGTCTTTTTTAAAAAAAAACCTTATTTTGTGACAATATTTTTATTTACAAAGCTTCATATGAAATGTAGAAAGTAATAATACATTTGATATAGGAGTTTCGGTTTGAATTAAATTCAATAAATAATTATTGGTAGAGATTTTCAAAATTTTTAGTATATTATTATGGTCCCCGATTATTATCATATTGATTGATATTTTTTTAAAGATTATATTATATTAATTTTAAGATCTGGTCTTTGTACTCAAGGTTCCAGTGATAAGATTGGTTGGTTCTCTTCTTTGTGAGTGACACACACAAAAAAAAAAAAAAAAGAATTTTTTGTTTTATTTATAATAGCAATTATTAATCGTTTCTTGGGATTGGGTGTCTTCTTCCTCTTCTTCTCTTTTTGTCTTCAACTGTTCGAAGTTCTTCTCTTTTCTTGTGTGTTCCCTGATTCAACGGCCACATCCATATCCACAATCTCTCCTCCGTAGGGCTTTAAACTCTTCTTAGATTGTCATTATTATATCTTAATTATTCTTTGGCTTTCTTGATCGAAAGCTATAATTGATCTGTACTGTGCTTCTTTCTTGAAAAAAAAAAGTTTTCCTTTTTGTAAAGAAATCATCATCTTCTCCGTGTGACTTATTTTCCTCACGAAAGTTGAAAGCTTTCTTGCGTATAAAGATTAGGGCTCCATTTCTTGATTTTCTTGATTTTTCTTTCTTTTCATCTGTAAATTACGGCGTGTGAGACTACGATGTTTTAACTTCCTTTCCTTTTTATTATCAAGAATCTAATTTTAATCTTACACGTCTCTCTCTCTGTTTCTCTTACAGGAAGTCTCCTTTTCAGACAAAAAGATAAAAAGTCAGATGAGAAGAAACTCACTGTAATAAACATTTTTTTTCAAGAAAAATCCATGGCGGTTTATTACCAAACTAGTGTCGGCATGCAATCTCTTTACCAAGAACCCATCTACCTCAACGAACAACAACAACAAGCTTCTTCTTCCTCCGCCGAGATAATCTCCAGTGTTGCTCAAAACGAGATGGTTTTTATCCCGCCAACAAGCGACACATCTCTCAACGGAAGCGTAACGGTTTCAAGCAACGATCTAAGCTCTAACGGTGGAGGACTTTCTTTAACCCTCGGTAACCAGATCCATTACCATTACCAGAACCTCTCCAACCAATTCAATTTCTCTGATGAGAATGTGAAGAGCTCAAGTCTCTACAATAACTACCGTTACGAGACAACAGGGTTTGTGAGTAGCGTTCTAAGATCTCCTTACCTTAAACCAACACAGCAACTGTTAGATGAAGTTGTTAGTGTCAGGAAAGATAATAACAAGAAGAACAACGATAAAGGTCAAGACTTTACTAATGGGTCTAGTGATAACAGTGAGGACTTATCTTCATCAGAACGTCAAGAGCTTGAGAGCAAGAAGAACAAGCTCTTAACAATGGTCAACGAGGTAGACAAAAGGTATAACCAATACTACCATCAAATGGAAGCTCTAGCTTCCTCTTTCGAGATGGTAGCTGGTCTTGGAGCAGCTAAGCCTTACACAACGGTGGCTCTGAACAGAATCTCTCGCCATTTTAGATGTTTAAGGGATGCGGTAAGTGAGCAGGTTCAGGTGATTAGAGGGAAGCTTGGGGAGAACAGTGAAGAGCAACAAGGAGAGAGGATGCCACGTCTTAGGTATTTAGATCAGAGGTTGAGACAACAGAGAGCTTTGCATCAACAGCTTGGAATGGTTAGACCTTCTTGGAGACCACAAAGAGGGTTGCCTGAAAACTCTGTCTCTGTGCTACGTGCTTGGCTCTTTGAGCATTTCCTTCATCCGTAAGTGTTTTTTTTTGATTAAGTAGTGACCACTCTCTCTATGCTTAGTTCATAACCGTTTCAAGTGTTTTGTAGATATCCTAAGGAGTCAGAGAAGATCATGCTTGCTAAACAGACAGGGTTATCAAAAAACCAGGTAACACAAGAAGGAGAGATCTCACTTCTATTGTTGTCTCAATCTTTGGTCCTGCTTTTGAATTGAGTGACTCTTGACAATGTTTAGGTTGCAAACTGGTTTATTAACGCGAGAGTTAGGCTATGGAAACCGATGATTGAGGAGATGTATAAAGAAGAGTTTGGAGATTCATCAGAGTTACTCTCTAACTCTAATCAAGACAACAACAGCAACAAGAAAATGCAGGAAACATCTCAGCTCAAACATGAAGAGTCTTCAACTTCACAACAACAGAGTCATGGGAACAACAACATTCCATATCCATCTGATGCAGACCGTGCTACTAGTGGAGATTACGGCAGCTTGATGAACTATCATCAAGGGTTTGGTGTGGATGATTACAACCGCTACATTGGAAACCAGCAAGATGGAAGATTCTCTAACCCCCACCATCAGTTACATGACTTTGTTGTCTGAAAACGTTTCTGAGCTTTACACAAAGCTCAAGAACTGGCAATGTCTGTGATTAGATTGGGGAGTAATGATTCTTGAAGCCTAAGGTGCGCTTCTCGCAATTTATAGATAGGGGTATATACACAACATATATCTGTAATGTGGTGGCATATAAAGGTTAGTCAGTAGGTTTGTATATGAAACTGAGCCTTTATGTACACTTTTGTAAGCCAATATTGTAATTGTTTTGTGTATAATCTTTCATGGTGGTTTAAACAAATAGTTTCAAGTGTGAATTTGGAGGTCATCTAGATCAAAAAAACGTCATGCTGTTGCATTTTGTGAATAGGAAACTCCAGGTAACGGAGATTACAGAAGTTTATAGACATCTCTAAAGACTAAAGATGAAGCTAAATATCTGTTTTTCACAAAACTTTTCCTAAGTAACTTACATTTTTCTGATCCCTGAAAAGTGTATTATCAGTATTCATAAGACCATTTCAAATCTCGCAAAGTGTATGGACGTTTACCTCTATGATTGATGAAGAACGGTGTTCTAGACCAAAACCTTTTCTTCGGTGCAGAGTCTTTGGATGAGGGTTTACTCAACTTGGAGCTGATAGAAGCCCAATGCCATTTCAAGAATGACTTAGACGGGCCTTTGCTACTGCAACTAGGATCCATCTTTAGAGCTTTTCCTTCTGTCTTCTGGAACATTAACTCATTGCATTCACTCTTTCTGTAACTATCCGGACGCGGTTCTTACATCATCTGTATTCCTTTGCCTTGGCTTCAGCCTCTGCCTTTAGGGTTTTCCTTGTTATTTTTGCAACTTTTTTTCTCCCCAATAGTGCATATGGGACAAGCAGAATCTCACTTCACTATCCCTTAATCCTTATCCAAATCGTAATAAGGTGAACCCTCAATCTCATCAGCCACACGTCTCCTATTATCACGTCGAAAATGGAGAGCAAGCTGAGTTCCGATGAAGAGATGAAGGTCACTACTAGTAGGAGGACCCCCCCCCCCCTTTTCTGCCTTTCACAGCTACACAACAAACTGAACCCATGATCGTTCACTAAAACTCAGAGCACTCAAGTTCCAAACAATTTGATGTGACTGTAAATTTTCTACAACCACAATATACAAGTGTTTTAGCTATTTTGCTTTCTACAGCCAAAAAAAAAGAAAATAGAAAAAATAATTGTAGTTTAAAAAAAGTTATAAAGTATAATTAGAAGTTCTTATGTTTTAGAAAAAAAGTTGGGCTCAGAAAAAATGTACAACATTTCTAAAACACATGTATAGATATTACAACATTTCTAAAACACATGTATAGATATTACAACATTTCTAAAAAAAGTAGGACATATTTAATTTTACAACATTTCTAAAACACATGTATAGATATTACAACATTTCTAAAAATTTACAACAATTCTAAGAAGTAGGACTTTAAAATTTTATTAAATTATATAGATATTAATTTACAAAAGTTTCATTATTTTATTATTTTATTTTAAGAAATATTTATTCTAAGATATGAAAAATATTTGACTTTATTATATAGACATTTATTCTTGTTTTTGAAATTATATCAATTTTATTATATTACTTGGTGTATATAATATATATTGCATATAATTTAAATATGGTTATAGATATAATATTATTAAATCTCATCAAAAAGTATTAACTGTTAATAATATATAAAGATAATTTCATTGTAAATAACAAAGAATGATAGATTCTTACTTATATAAAATATATATACATATAAATTATTAGTTTATAATTTTAATGAGATTATATCTTTACATATAATTTACGAAAAATATTATCTTATTATTTTATCGATTTGTGTCAAACTTTGAACCGGCCCAAATTTGAGTCAGAGAAATTTATTAATTTATAGAGATTATTAATTTATCGAATATTAATTTATAGAGGCTCTATTGTATTTCTAAAGATCCACATTTGTAAATGTTCCAATCTCTTTAATATATATTTCCAGATGCCCAAAAATAATCAAAAAAATAAAGAAGTTTATAATTGCAGTTATTAAATTAATTATTTTTTTGCTCTCATTTCAAGTAATAAACATATTTCTTCACCCACTCTCATAAGTTAGACAATAAGTAAATGGGAATTAAATATCATTTATAATGTATGAAATGCCAAAATTTGTCAGCAACTAGGATAGACCACACCATGTTTTTTGTGATTCTAGTTGCTTAAAAATCTCGTATGAATTGTTCAATTTGTAGACAGCTCCGGTTATGAACACATTCACGCTGTTATATAACACTTTTACAAAAATAATATTAATCATCAAATATACTATAATATTAATATCTAAGGAATGGGTCTTTTGTACAACTTCTGTTACTTAATAACAGAGGATCCATTACAAACAAGCCTCGACCATAACTCTTATCTGGTCGACAACCTTTGCAGAGTAAATGGTAGTGATTATTCCCATGATGTTTTGGCAGTTTAACCCATCTAAACTTTTTTTTTTTTTTTTTCATATGCAACTTGTTCGGTCTTTAACATTTAGACAAAAAAAAAGAAACTTGTTCGATCTTATGTTTCTTTTTTTTTTTGTAATTGAGGTAAACCATATATTACTGTAATCCCTATTAACCCCAAAACTTGTCAAGATGTATTTTGCTACTTCTGAACATTTCCAGTGACCAAGAAGGCAAGAAGAATCCTTTTGATTATATATCCGGATTCAGGCGTTAGGAAATTTTCACTTATGTACAGTGGCGTAGCCAAAAAAATTCATATATTTTATTGCGTTAGTAATCTCTTATTTCTAATTTTCATATATTTTATTGGGCTAGTAATTTTTTATAGTATGCTTTTGACCTGAATGAGTTGAATTAGATTAACTGAATGTGTTAAACTGGATTAATGGGGGTCAATAATAAAAATGGACAAGAGTCAATTTAAAATATTTGATAAAAATTACATTATTTTTCTAAATTTCACATGTGTCACTTGACCACCATGCCACTGCCACTGCTTATGTATGTTTTGTTGTGAATTTGTGATATAGAAAATTCGAGGATCGGAACCAGGTTTTTATGTACGTATGTCTTTCATGTAAACTTTGACAGAAAGATATTAGGAACCAAGCAGTAATAATTTGGTGATAAGAGGAAAATTTGGAGCAAAACGTAAACCATCAGTCGGCTAAGTATTTCTCATTTGAAAAACGGGGACCGAAGTATTTCTTGACACTGTCCCCTTAGAAGAATTATTTGGATTTCAGTTCACATATCTTCGATCAATTTTAAAAGGAAAGGATATTGGAAACTAGATGCAAGAATTTACTAAAGAGAAAAATATATAAATATTTTTAAATTTTAGTAGCATGCGATTTTTATCTGTATCATAGTAAATATATATAAATCGAATATATTGCTATAGTTTATATAGGTGTTAGCCGAAAATCTTGAAAGATGTCTCACTTAAATTAATTTGCCTTTCACACAGATAACTTTATTTTGTTTTTTAATGTACAATTGTGCAAACCGCGCATGAGATTCAATAGCTAGTGCTAAGAGGAAGAAAATACAATCGTGAACCATTGAATTTGATGCCAACAAATGAAGAAGCGAACGGTGCAACTATCTAGAGAATCGATTCTATCAACCTTTCTTACGTGTTTTATTCGGATCAAGATAATAAGTTGTGGTGGCGACAAAGAAATATACTCCACAGATTATTACCTTGAAATATAGTTTATGCTTACGCTAAGTCAGAGACACGAACATCTACTTGCCTCAATATTTAATTCCTTTTCACGGAGTATATATAATTAATAATCTACAAAAGCAAATAAGGACAAAATCGCTAATCAGCATGATACATAGATTCATTGAACATATATGATTTTTCAAATATTGGACGATAAACTTTTTTGTTTAAATTATTTCATAAGTGACCATGACTTAGACCTTAATTGGTAGATCTGTAAAAGTTAATATAAACTATTGTTTGATTACTGACGATCATTGAGGGCGATTTGTTTGTCAATTTCTCTCATCAAAAATCACCATTGTACTCAAACACCATACGAATTACATCCGTGACGTACTAAAAAGTCATTTTAATATCTTTCTTTATGTGATATTAATTCCTAGAATAGCTAGAGTAGAGACTTAGAGATAAAGTCTGGTTAACCAAAATAAGATATGTAAATATATTGCCCTTTAAAATTTTATGAAGTAAATAGTTTTGTGTGATCATGTATCTTCATTAAACAATAGGCTATTTTAACAATATTATATTGAAGGTGACATGATAAATATTATATGTAAGATGCTGGCGCTAATAATAGTAACATATTGGATGAAACCTAACATCACATATCTATTTATATTCTACATTTATATAAATGAGTGTTAATTTAAGTATATTGACATAATTGGTCGGTTACTGCGATTGAATTGACATTAACATTTTATAAATAAATGATAATTAAGTGAGATCATGTGCATCGTACGTAAGATTCTTGAAAAAGAGAAAACTGGAGTGACCCATGATAATAATTCATTTTGTTGTAAGTACTAAAACGCATCACTATTTTATCACATTTTGGACAATACAGTCTTGAACACAATAATGACAACACTCCATTTCTATATAGTATTTTGAAATGGACCACCTTCTTATATGAAACCGTCCACGATCTTTCACATTGTTTTCATTCTTCACTAATAGCCAAATCATCTTTTCTAATAAAGGCAACAAATGCTCCCCAAATAAGGAAAAACAGAAATATATAACAAAAGGACAAAATAATATTTCTCCACTTTAATATATATAATATTATTTAAAACATTTTCACCCACTTACAGCAAAATCACATCACCATCTTCATGAGATCACAATTTTAAACACTGAATAAGCGTTAATTGTTTTTTATCTTACAAACTAAAAAAAAAAAACATAACATCACATCATATATAACAAAGTTACATGCTTACCCCTGATGTCATTCATATTCGTCACACTCACGATGATGTCAACAGTTGAAAACATCACCAGCAGTAGAAGCAGAGGCCATGATTGGTTGGTTATAAAACCCTAGATTCAGAGTACTCATCACGCCGTCGTAAAATCCACCACCTCCGCCGCCGTAATCAACTATTCCTCCTCCCTGACCAGTCTCCATCTCAAAGGAAGACGACTCCACTAACTCTACGATCTCGTTGAGTGATTCCAGGCGGTGGTTGAGCTCCAGAAGCTGAGCTCTGAGAATAGAGTTCTCCGCCTCGACGGTGACGTAGTGCTCCGTCGTGACGGCGATCCCGGCGACGATTTGGCCGTTTTCTTTACGTAGATGAGCAACCTGAGCCGTTAGATCGTCTACGTGTTTCTGCTTCCTCAACCTCGACCTCCTCGCTGACTCTCTGTTCGACTGCTTCCTCTTTCGCTTCCGCTCGTCGATCAGATCACGTTGTCGGAGATCCGACTCCGAACCGGAGTTTTGTAAACCGGTCGTTGAGATAGACAAGTTGCTTGTGGGAGATCCCAGTTCAGTTTTATTCATATTTAATATATCAAAAACACACACACAGAAAAATATACTAGTTCAAATAAAAGACGCAGGACCCAAGTTAGGGTTTTATAAAATCTATGTAATCTTATTATAGAGGTTTATATGTGTATAGTATATAGTTATAGGATATATATATAATATTAGGGCTAAAGGAGAGATGATTTATGAGAAGACATAGAACCAGTAGAGAAAGACGACGGAGAAAGATTGAACGAGATGGGTCCTGCGTCTAAGAGAGGAGTCTATAGTAAGCCCAGATCTAAGAATTTCACTAATCACCGGAGACGACATGAATGTTTGAACATCAAGATCCAGTTCTTTGCCACATCAATATATTAGAAGAAGTAGAAGAAGAGTAAAACGGAACAGATTTAGTTTTTCGAGAAAGAAAAAAAACTGAGAAAGTAGAGAAAAGGAGGACACAAACACAACAGTTTTAAAAGTGATGTATGTATTCGAGAGCGAAAGGGGAAGAGGTAGCTTATAGGTTTGAGAACGGGTTTTATAGAGTGGGAGAGAAAAAATAAATTAAATAAATTTTGAAAAGAGGAAGTTAATATTATGAAAAATAAGAAAAAGGAATCTGGAAACTGTTGGGGGATGAAGCATGTGAAGTAGAAACAGTCAAGTTTACAGCTGTTTTGCAATATTTGTTTTTATTTATGTGTATGGGCTTAATTTTAAAATTAGGTATTGATTCTTTAGATAACCAATAACCATATTAACCATTTTATATTGAAAAGTTAGCATTTTCAGGGTTTTTTTCTAAGAAATTACTTGAAATACCCTAAACTAGATACTAATTACAAAAATATATACTCTATCAAAAATAATGTAACATTTGAGTTTACTTGTTTAGTGACTATTTTTAGAATTTAGTATTTAGTATTACGAGGTGATATTAGATTTATAAAAAAAATTATTAATAAAATTCACATAGAAATTTTTAGAGTTTAGTATTTAGGAGGTAATATTGGATTTATAAACATTTTGTAAATTAGATTTTTATGTTTTTCTGAAATTTTGATTTTCTACAACTTGTAAGATTTATTCTACTATTATTATTTTACTTTCTATAAAAACAAGGTGTAGTCAAATGAGATTATTTGTCTAAATTATTATAGTGCATAATTCAAAAATAAACTTAAATTTTTGGAGAAAAAAATCATTAGATATTATTTTATATTGAAAATAATTTTAATATTTAATGTATTTAGTTACTTTAAAACTAAAACATAGTTAAATGTATGTTGAATTTTTTGAGGATGTGGAGATGTTATTCTTGATCATTAAAAGTCTGCTTAACAATTTTCAATCAATAATAAAATAAAATTATAATATTATTTTTAATTAATATTAAATATTAATAAATTTTACATAAAATTTTAAAAATGTTAAATAATATAGAATATAATTTTTTTCTAAAATGACAAATATTAAAACAGAGGGAGTACTATTTTTAATATGTATGAGAACTAAACTTTATGTTTAAATATAAAGTAATTTCATATTTAAATAATCGAAACCTTTCTCGATTCTCGTTTTTAATACATGAGAATCACCGCCTAAGTACCAGAATTAACCGTCCAGAAACGGACACCTGGAGTATGAGACAGATGATGGGCTGAGGGTAGAGGTGTTATATAAGAGTGCATGCATGGGCATTTCCGGTATTTAACATTCTCCTATATCCTATGTCAATAATTCAATCAGATTGGAAACTTCAGTCAGTATCTTAAAATTATGTCATCAACTTTAATGTCTTACCTACAAAACTATTTTGTTAAAAAAAAAAAGCCCCTACAAAACTATATACCACTTCTATGGTTTCAAAGTCCGAAATTTGTAATTAAAATTCATATAATATGTTTCTTGATAATACAAAACTATTTCACCACTAAAGCGTGAAATTTGTATCCAGCTCCTATTTCAATTTCTTTTTATTTATTATTTTTACTTTATTTTTATCACTATTTTTTATAGTTTTTTTTTATTTTTCAATATTTGTATTCGTGTAGTAAATAATAAAACATGCTTTCTCTATTTTAAAAAATACATATTCTAGAAAAATATATATTGTATTTCAAAAATATTAATTGAATTTTTTGAAATCTTATTGGTTTACAAAGATGGAAAATATAAAATAATAAAAATATGTATAAATAACTAAGTTTTAATATATTCTTTTATAAGCGTCAAAAACTTAAAATATATATTATTTTAAAACATAAAGAGTATTAAACAGTCATTCTCTTATTTTCTCATTTTAATAACTTTTGTTTAAAAAAGTTTCTGATTTAAATGTGTTCATGCTTTTTATTCAACTTTATTCATATTGACGAAACACATTTTGATGTCTCTCCACTTAATTAGCTAACTAATGCAGAAAATCAAGAATACATTATTTTATATTCCCTGCGTTTCAATTTAAATGTTATTGTAGAAACTTATTTTTTAAATAAGTGTCCTTTGTCATTTATAATTTCAATATATAGTTTATCTAATATTTTATTATTTTATTAGTTAAAATATGACTAGGTGTATATGTAATTGTATTTTTTAAAAAATATATAATTAAATATTTTAATCCATATACATCAATGTAAAATGACAAATTAAAATGAAACGGAAATAATATATGTTATATCAACTGATTTGGTCGATCTTAACAAAATTGCTTTTAGTGTTATAAAATAAACTGAATATGATAATTGACATGAAATGTAAGTTTTGAAATATCTCTGACTCATTCTTAGGACAGTTATAACATCTAATAATCGATTATCATGTAAAATGTATAGATCAAATCTCAGATACAGACTAGTTAAATAATAACAATTCTGTTTAATCATGATAAATGTTACTATAAATGAATTTCTGTCCTATCCCAAATTAAATTTTAACCACTATACTACAGCCATTTGGTTGAACACATCGAAGGCTTTATTCATCTTTCTGTCCACCGTAAGGACAAATGGCTTTGATATTAATCAATTACTTAAATACATTAGGTTAAAATAAATAAAAGAGAGATAGGATTTGACTTGGCATATTGGCATCCTTCATTGTCTAACATCAAAAACTTCCATGTATAGCTTTCAAAATAAAACTATACAAAATCTATCTCAATTAACATTTAGGAAAAATAAACAAAAGTTTCATATGTAATTTGAAATAAATTTCATTATCGGAGTAATATATGACCTACAGTTGTAGTTTAAAGGTCCCTTAAACGTCGACAAAAAAAATTCTCTTAAATATTAAGCTAAATGAATAGAAAAGAAATTAGTTTCAAAAGATAATGAATAGAAATGAAAATTACTAATAAATTATGTTAAATGGACCGTCATCGTACGGACATCTCACGTGCAAGAGTGCGTGCTCAGTTCGCACATGTGGAGCCCATGTAGAATGGTGCATCTGTGATGTGGATTCGACACGTGTCATTACTTATACCTAATAATCAAAATTTTCAATAACCAATACATTAATATAATCTATAAAAATCAATATAAGTGTAAAAATATATCGTAACTCTCTTTATGTTTTTTCACGCACATTTGTTAGAGCACCCCCATCAAAGGTTTAGATGGAAGTTCACACACTTTTCAACACAAAAAAATATTAAAATAACAAAACTCTATAATCCCCTCTCTCCTAAAGCTCTCTCTAGTGATCCCCTCTCTCCTAAAGTTCATCACTGTAGCGGGGGATCTACGACACGTGGCGGCCCGCGATTGATCTATCTTTTATTTTAAATAAAAAAAGAAAAACAAAAAAATTTAATAATAAAAAAAGAAAAAATGAACCCCAATGGGGGTTCATTGATGTGGATGCTCTTATGTTTCTTATATATCTCTCTTCTCCTTGTTTTCGTCTGTCTAAATTTGTACTTCTTTCGCTCTCTTTCCCTTTCTCTCTCTCTCAATCGATAAAATAATGTTAAAATCTCTCAAATTTACATTCACTTTCTCATAATCACTTATATTCACACTTTTACCTTCATCCTTACTATAACCCTTAATATTTCACTTTCAAACTCTTTATATTTTTCTTTGGTTGCAAAGTTTTCACTAAATTTTGTTAAATCTTCAAAACACTCATATAATATTCATAAATAATTTCAAGATCTATCTCACTTACATTCACTCAACATCTTCATCATGATTATAACCATCACTCTAATCCTCATCATCACCATCTATCTCTTCCTCCCTTTCTTACATATTTTGAGTTTAACATAAAACTCATAATTGGTTAACCAAACAAATTCATTAATAAATTCTCTCCAATATTAACACTATATTATCAAACATTGATTCGTTTAGCCAAGATTTTAATGGAAAAAATATATTTTAAAAATATTATAATTATTTTTAATTACTTCAGTACATATATATTTTAAATAAATTTGATTACATGTATTTCAAAAATAAGTAAATCTGATTAACTAATTATATATCATAAAAATATCTAAATTATTAAGTGATGTGATGTCATTATTTTAGACATAGATACTAAATATAAAAGTGAGATTCAACAGTTTTAATATATCAAAATAATATGTTTCTATATGTATAAGTTTTGTTATAACTTTGTTATCATACATTTTAAAAGTTTATTATATCGCAAAAAAATATTTATCATTATTTTAGAATAATTTATTTTAAATTTAACTTGTGTTATATTTTCCATCTTCGACAGTAACAATTTTAGAACTTATCATTTATACTTATCTTCCTTGCTCAATTTTTCTTTATGCTGTATAAACACCTAAAACTAATTAGTTTACAATTATAATAATACGTAAAAAACTATTTATGTATACAAATAAAAATATGTAGCTAAAAATATAAAATAACAAAGAATACAACAAAAAAGTGTTATTATAATTCACTCATGTTTGTCTATTTATGTCTTTTTCTCTTTTTTCTTATTAAAAATAAACATGCCAATTTTATTATACTCAAAGCTGTATTAAATAGAATATTAACTCTAGTCTCGTATTAATATAATTTTCTGGTTTTTGCAATTTTATATCATAATAAAAAATTTCAGTTATTAATATTTTTTACAATGACTTACCATGTAATTTTCTGTTTTAAATATAAAAAATACTTAAATCATTTTTGAAAGTGATAACCTAACTATACTATCGACATTTATCTCTGAAAATGATTAGAAGTTTTTAAAACTGTACATTTGTCTGTTTTG